TTCTCCTAAACCACTAAGAAACAAATTTGGTGCACTAACCAGCTTCGAGAACTGTCTTCTACACCATCTCTCCTCCTCTTTCTTTGCCCCTTTTCCTTCTTTACTTATCCCTTCCTTCCTCACCATCACTGTAGCTTGATTCCTGGTGCCACTACTGACTGGTTGTGGGAAACAATGGTCCTCACTTCATAAGTGTACAGGAGACTCAGAGTAACAAGACTGTGGGACTCTTAAAAACCTCATGCAAAGATTTTTTTAAATTCATTGAATATAGTACAGAAATATTTTATCTTTATTCCTATACTACATGTAAAGCAAGTACCAAAGTAGACTATATATTTAATTAAATGAATCCCGGGGCTGCAGAGATGGCTCAGCAGTTAAAAGCACATACTGCTCATCCAGAGGACCTGAGTTTGGTCCCCAGTGTCCATGCTGGGCAGCTCAAACTGCTTATAACTCTAGCTCCAGGGGATCCAGCACCCTCAACCCCCAAACATATATATATATATATATGATGCACTTACATGGAGGCAAAACAATCATTAATTTAAAATATTTAAAATTTTATTAAATGAATCCTTTGGATGGAGGTGGTATAGAATAATGGAAATCATTCTGGACTAGAGTTAAGATTTCTTCTGCCATCTTCCTGTGTGACATTGAACAGTAATTACAGCACTCTTAAGGTAAGAATGAGTGTTCCACGTCACAGTTGAACCTGATTTCAGTAAATTCTCAATTCTATAGGTATACTATAATTTTTAATATTATTTACTGACAAAACTGTACTACCAAGCTTCAAAAATAATGTGAAATTTGTCACTGGTGCTGTAATGTGAGTTTGCCATTCATTCCTTTTCTAAATTCAATTTATACAAAGTTGTTCAATATAATCATGCTATTTTTTTCAAAGAAAGCAATGCTAATGAAATTTTTTTAATGTCCTTAACCTCCACTTCTGCAAAGACTCCTTATCTCCAGAAGTATTTAATCCATCAAATGAAGAGACCAACAACAATGGTAAATACACTTACTAACCATTGTAATGCAATTGTAAAATAAAGAAACTAATGTGGGAAAATTGTTCTTTTTAAACAAAGAAATACCACATTGAATCCAATGAACATGTCCAATGAATATGTATTAATAAAAAGGAGCAGGAATTAATGGTAAGTGGGACCAGAGCTGCAGCTCTATGGCTGGGAACTATGTGGTTGGGCATTGCAATTGCCAAAGCTGGTGCCACCACTCCTGGCCACTCCACTGATCCTCAAAGGGAGATGGCCAAATGACTTCCAAATGGTCATTTGCCTTATAGCATCATTCACTCTACACTTAAAGTCCTGGTTGAAATAAGTCAGCTGGTTAAGGTTAGATCTGTCTGCAATCACTTTGCCATGACTCCCAGAAAGTAGTGTATCTGACCGTCCTTGACTTTCACAGTAGACAGCAAGATCCTATCTTCAATCGTCCCACCCAGGAAGAGTATTCAGATATCTACTCCAGGACCATGTGGGTTAAATGAAATCTTCATTGCCGCAGAGGCTAAGTCCCACGTATTCTCATCCAAAGTCTCCTAGACCCTGTGTGCTGGATAGCTTTAATGTCAACTTGACACACCTGGGATGAGGGAGCCTCATTTGGGGAATTGTCTCCATAGAACTGGCCTGTGGCCATGTCTGAGGGGCATCTTCTTAATTGTTGAGTGATGATTATTGGGAGGGTCCAGCCCACTGTGGGTGGTGCCACCCCTGGGCAGGTGGGCCTGTGTTGCATAAGAAAGCAGGCTGAGCAGGGGCCAGGATACAAGCCAATAAGTAGTGTTCCTCCATGGCCTGTGCTCCAGCTCCTGCCTTCAGGTTCCTGCCCTGAGTTCCTACCTTGGGCTCCCTGATAAACTGTGACCTGGGAGATGTGAGATAAAATAAACCCTTTCCTCCCCAAGTTGGTATTGGTCAGAGTATTTTTTCACAGCAATGGAGAGACAAACTAGGATACCATCACCATGTCACTATTTCATGTGCTGTCATCTAAATGCACTTGATCTTTTAAATGCTCTCTCTCTCTCTCTCTCTCTCTCTCTCTCTCTCTCTCCTCTCTCTCCACTATACCATACAACATGGTACTGTTCCACTAGCTCTCCTGGTCTGAGACTTTATGAGGAAATATTTCCACGTAGCATTTTCCTGGTAATAAAGTGCTGTGTGGAGAACATTGTTTTACAATGAAATTTTAGAGCTTCAAATTTAAAATGAAAATTACTAGCCGGGCATGGTGGCACACGCCTGTAGTTCCAGCACTTGCGAGGCAGAGGCAGGCAGATCTCTGTGAGTTCAAGGCCAGCCTGGTCTACATAGTGAGTTCCAGGAAAGCTGAGGCTACAAGGAGACCCTGCTTCAAAAAGACACAAAAAAATTACTATCAAACATATATTGCAGATTCAGGAGAAAGACTTAGGTGGAGAAGATAATTTTCCCAGGAAAAGGAAAAGGGAAATAATAACATGGGGGGAGGTGCTTGGACTCCAGCAATGTCCACTGTTAAAGTCTATTATGTAAACCAACAATGGGTCATATGATTCAAGGACTTTGAGGCCATGATATGAATCTAGAAGCTGGCTCCCATCAGCACTGCCTAGCTCTTGGACTGAATGTCAATTCTGTTTACCATCAGCCCCATTTCACTTGTACCTAGTACCAAGATGCAATAGGACCATGAAGCAGAAGTATAGGAGGGTTAAGGGTCTTTTTCAGGCTGGTAACATCACTAGTTAAAAAATAGAACATAACATTTTCCTCACAAGGGGTATGGTTGTTTGAATAAGTAATGTCCTCCATAGGCTCAGTGTCCTAGTTTGTTCTTCATTGCTGTGACAAAATACTCTGACCAATACCAACTTGGGAGGAAAGGTATACTTAGCTTACATATCCCAGGTCACAGTTCATCTGGGAGCCCAAGGTAGGAACTCAGGGCAGGAACCTGGGGAGCTGGGGCACAGGTCAAGGAGGAACGCTGCTTACTGGCTTGCACCCCTGGCCCCTACTTAGCCTGCTTTCTTATGCAACACAGGCCCACCTACCCACAGGTGGCACCACCCACAGTGGGCTGGGCCCTCCCACATCACTCATCAAGAAGATGCCCCTCAGACACGGCCATAGGCCAGTCCAATAGAGGCAATTCCCCAACTGAGGCTCCCTCAGCCTAGGTATGTCAAGTTGACCCTAAAGTTATCCAGCACACTCAGGAATTTGAACACTTGGTCCCCAGTTGGTGGCTCTGTTTGGAGAGGTTATGGAAGTTTTTGGAGGTATGGCCTTGCTGGAGAAAGTATGTCACTGGGAATGGGCTTTGAGAGTTCCTAGCTTAGTCCCACTTCCAGCTCTGTGCCTTCTGCACCTAGTTGATGATTTTACTTGTATTCTGTCTGAAATATTTAAAAACAAAATAATTGAAGAAATAAATCTATACCAAATAGAGAGACAGATGTGATAGAGACAGAAGGAGAAGATTGTTCAGCATGGTGAGCACTTGAGGGTGACTGGAAAGAAGCCAGAGAACCCTTGAGCACTTGTGGAAAAGGAAGGTCCATTCCAGACTGCTGGGAAGAGGTGACAGAAGACTGGATGTTCAATGTAAACCATGTCCCCACCCCTGCCCCCAAGCATCTTGTGAACACATGTACAGACTGCCCATCTGACTCTCAGCTTCCTCATCTCATAATTAATGGCTGATCTGCAAGAATCTTTCCATTCCCACCATTCTTCCTTTCTTTTTATTTTTCTTCAGATGGACACATGTTTGTGCATAAAAGAATCTTCTCACAAAAATATTAGTAAGTATTCCTTTTGCTTCAAATGATAGAGAATCCTTTCAGATTGGCTTATCTGAAGTGAAATAGTTTTGGGTTTTATAAGATGAAAACTGTAAGGCTAGGTCCAGCATTAAGCACAGTGAGCTTAGGGTTCTGTAATACGATTCTGAGCCTCAGGTACTTTCTTGGTCTTTGTCTTGTGCCTTCAGATGTATCTGTTTGCTTCTCCACGATGTGATAAGCCAGATGGTGGTGCAGCTCTAGCCCTTAAATCCTCTGGAGTTTTCTGCACAGAAGAAAAAGGAAACATTTTTCACCAAAGTCCCAGTGAAATACAGTGCCTGGTTAGCTGTGATAGAGTCCCATGGTCATCAAAGAGCCATATGTAGACAGGGCCAGGTTATGCACTGATCAGCGTGAGCTAGCAGCATGCTCCTGGTGGTGAAATGGGCATGCATTAGTCAGCAATCCATCATCACAACAAAATACCCTAGATAATTAGCTTATAAAGAGAAGAGGTTTATTTTGGTTCACATTTTGGAAGTTCCAGTCCAGGATTAGTTAGTCCATTTGTTGGTGCCTGTGGCAAGACAGTATATTATGGCAGGTGTGCACAGCAGAACAAAACTGTTTGCGTTACTGGCCAGAAAGACTTCTAGAGCCCTTTGTCCTCTTTGGGGACATTCCCACTATAACCTAAAGACCTCTAGCAGGCCAGACTTCTCTGTAACACTGGAAGTCAAAATTTTAATACATGCGTCTTTGGGTATTAGCACAGAACACAGCTTCACCGCAGGCATGTAGACAGAGAGTCCAGGAGGGCACCATTTCTAGAGGAAAACTAGGATGTGTTTGCCAGAAACAGAATGAGTGGATATTAGGTGGCAAATGTCCACGGCACCAGAAAACCACAGGAAAGAAGTACCAATAAAGACAGCCTAAGGATTTTATTTTCTTTTTGTACAAAATGAAAATATTCAAATTGAAGAGAAGATCTTAAAAATGAGGGAAATGGCTAAGCATAAAAAGGATTCATGCAAAGACAGATACATATTAGTCTCAATTTCAGCACCCTGAACCATTTATCTTGGCAGAGGCCTATTTATCTTGAAAGATGTGGTTTGAACATCAATGAAATACAATCCTAATGGGAGAGACAGGTATAAACATGGGAATTATGGGCCATGTTACTCTTCCCAAGTAATAAAAATAAAAAGTAGGAGGCTTAAGGTGGGGTTATGTGGATTTTCTGATGGTGGAACCCAAATCTAGCTGGGCATGGTGGAAGCGTTCAGAGGTGGGGCTGCATGAGCAGGCATCAGCTGTGCCTAGGGAGCCTTTGCCGGAAACAGAATACAAGATTTTGTAAGTCATTTATCTTCACAGACCTGCAAGAGAAAATCACATTTATTTTTGAACCATTCTCAAAACATAATAAATCTAAATAAATGTTGTAATACAGTTAAAATAAGATAAATGTTTACATAATAGGCGAGAAGTAAATATTGGCTAGAGATGATTCCCATAGAGTTAAATAGTTCTGGAAGTGGGCATGTAGCGTGTGGGGGAGAAAGGAAGCAGAAGGGAACCATTTCTCCACCCTCTACCCTTATCTGTGGCTTCGGCTATTACAGCTTTTCCTCCTCATCCTCTTACCTGCTCCTTCTTCCTTACCCTCACCCCTTCTGACCAGAAAACAACAAAAAATGCATGCAGTCTTACATCAACCTTTGCAAGGGCTAGAAAGACACAACCAAAACAGCCTACTGTTATGTACTCTATGTATATCAGAAATGCACATAGGAACCTTGAAGATAATGCAGAAGTTTTCTTAGAGCCATAAAGGTAATGCAAAAGCTTCTAAATTTCTTCTCTGGCTGCCTTTTAATTAGAGATGCCCAACATACTCCCTTTCTTACATATCTTCCCCTTTCATTTTCTGTTCCTTGCCCTCTAGCCCAAGGCTGTGGTCTCCCAGTTCCCATTCTAGATCTGCTTCAATGCTGTCTTGACAAGTTCTGTTCTACCACAGACCTTTGCCGTTCAGGCAGAGCATCGTCAAGTTAATGACCCTAATAGTTCACTTAAAGTGTATTTGTTGTGTGGCTTTGCCTCATATGGGTTGTGTTCATGAGATAAGCTTATGAATTACTGAACTAAATGACTTTCTTCCTGCCAGAACTGTGTGATATGTAAGGGCCAGTGTGAAATGAAAAGGACAGAAATCCCAAATTTACCACATAAATGGAGACAACAGGACTCCCTACAACAAGGGTTTATGGGTGGGAAGCAAGCTGAATTTTGACCATCCATGGCCCTGGTTGTCCCTAGTCTAATTCAAACTGAGCCCACTTGCTGAGACCAGAATAGCACTGAGATAAGACAGTTGCCACTAGACACTCCACCTATAACATGAAATGTGTCTGAGATTAACAATGGCTAGCACCTGTAAAGCCCCATTCTCAGTCAACAGCTATGTATGAGGTGTGTTCATTTGGCCTTCACACATCCCAAGTGCTATTTATCCCTCAATAGCATGCAAGAAAATTTAAGCCCAGAGAGGTAGAATAACTTTTCCAAAGGGTGTAAGCTCTTATAGGCAGTGGGACCACAATTACTGGGATCTAATTCCAGAATCTGCGATTTGACCACCTGTGCTGTATAGCTTTAGTGTCAACTTGACACACCTGGGTTGAGGGAGCCTCAATTGGGGAGTTTCCTCTATTGAACGGGCCTAGGGCCATGTCTGAGACACATCTTCTTGATGAGTGACATGGGAGGGCCCTGCCCACTGTGGGTGGTGCCACCGCTGGGCAGGTGGGCCTCTGTTGCATAAGAAAGCAGGCTGAGCAGGGGCCAGGGGAGCAAGTCAGTAAGCAGAGTTCCTCCATGGCCTGTGCTCCAGCTCCTGCTTCCAGGTTCCTGTCCTGAGTTCCTACCTTGGACTTCCTGATGAACAGTGACCCAGGAGATGTAAGCTGAATAAACCCTTTCATCCCCAAGTTGGTATTGGTCAGAGTATTTTGTTGCAACAATGAAGAACAAACTAGGACACCACCACATTAAACTCTCTCAGTAAAAGAACTAGAATAAGGGTTGGAAACGGGATGTGCTCAGTCTCTTAAAACAGCTAAGGAAGAGGAAATTAGAGGCCAGGCAGCCCACTTAGGCATGGCTTAAAGAGGGGACTAAGTATGGCTACTGGGTGATCACAGCAAGATTGTTTCTTTAAGAAAGGCATAAGTTCTACCCATCTACGGTTTCCACACCTGGGGGAATGCTTGGGCATACGGCTGTCTTTGAATTAGCTATCTTTGGCTGCATAACAAATTAACCCAAAATTTTATGGCTTAAACTGATATTTTAGTGTCTGTGGATGAGGAATCAGGCATAAAGTAGGTATGTGTCTCTGGCTTAGGATTTTCCACAAAATTTTAATTGCATTGTGACTGATCTACGGTCATCTGCAGGCTCAAGTGGGGAAGGGTTCACTGCCACACTCACTGAATGTTTACTGGCAGGACGAATTACATTTCAGGCTGTAGAAATGAGTCTGTCAGTTCAACACTGGCTACTGTCTTGATGCTGACCCCAGCATTTTACCAAATGGGCCTCTCCCATATGGAAGCATATCTGCAGAATGGTCTAGAGACAGGGTGAGGGAGAGAGAATATAAGAAAGATGGAAATCTCTGTGTTTTCATCTGAGTCAGAAGTAATACCCCATCACTACCTACAGCCAACAGTTAAAAGAAGGAGATTCCACAAGGGTGTTAACATTAGAGAGGAAATATTATGGGAAACATTTGTGGAGCTTCACCCCACAGCATCCAAAGCCTATCTGTCCAACTGAATTTTTCTCACCAAACTACAAATATCCTTCATAGGAGTTAGGAAATAAAACCCAATGAACTTACTATTTGCATTTAACCTTCAGGTTGAAAGTGACTTTGAAATCATGTCCATCTTGATAGTTACCTAGAAACCAGGTATAGTCACATATGAGTTGGAGGCAATGCTGGGATACATAGCAAGTTTCAGGCCAGCCTGAACTACAGAGAAAGAACCTCTCAAAATATAATGGGGCTGGAGAAATGACTCAGTCATTAAGAGCACTGATTGCTCTTGCAGAGGACCCAGGTTTGATCCCCAGCATCCACATAGAAGCTAACAACTGTCCATAATTCCAGTTCCAGGGGACTCTGACGCCCTCTTTTGACTTCCATGGGCATTGCATGACACCAGTGCACCTACCAACATGCAGACAATACACTCATACACATCAAATAAAATTATAATAAAAAAATAACACATAGAACTTACCCACAATAAGACATGTAATAGGGAGAGGAAGGAGAACTAAGTTTCGGGCCCCATCCTTTGCACTCCATATTATTAGCTGCCCCCACGTAAGGTTTCACTCTCTCATTTCCCAAATGAAAAAAAAGGAAGGTCGCAGGCTCAAATATCACACAGCTATAAAGAGTGAAGCCCTCAAACTGCAGGCCACAATTTCCTGCCCCTACATTCTTTTCATTTATCTTAGTCATTAGTGCTCTTTACCACATTTTCCCAGTCCTTCCCACTGGCCAATGGGAAGACTGCATCTTCTGGCCCTCTTATGATTGGGTAGAGCCTTCAGAATAACTGTGGCCCATGTACGATGAATAGAAGTGAAAAGCCTCTCTTTCAGGCCTAAGCATTATATTGTAAGACCTTTCCCAAGCCCCTGGCATGGCACCAACAGAGATTAAATCACTGGGTGACTATGATGAGCTGTCCCTTTCATCCCATCCACCCGCCAACAGACGGTGGGCACACAGAGTGAACAGGAAAGGAGCCTTTATTGTTTGGAGTCACTAGGGTTTGGGAGCTGGCAGGTGTTTGTTACTCCAGCATAATTTCATTTGTCCTCCCAGTGCACCATCAAAGAGATGATGAAGGAGTAGGGAGCAAGGGGGTGTGGAGGCCACATCAAGAGGTGTCCTATCCATTATGGCAGCCTGGGGGAAGAACAATAGCTTGTCATCGCCTGGGTTGAACTGGGCTTCATGGTATGCAGACTGATAGACTTTCATTTCTGGATACAACTGTGCAGAATAATGAGAAAAAGACCAACAGCATCACTGAGAAGTAGTGAATCAACTGCATCATCACTTTCACTCTGAATGCCCCTTGCTCTAGCATGGTGAAGAACACAAGCACAGCAGATGTGTTGTTCCTTCCCAGGCCTGCACAGCATGGGCTTCTGAAAGGGGCTTGGTGGAATATAGTCCTCCATCCACCCTGCTTGGCTGTCACTGAGGAGCTTGTGTAGCTAGCACAGCATTTGCTAAGCTATTCTCCTTCATGGGTCTGGGGGCCAGCTCACACAGGGCTGGGGTACCAGGGTTGGGCAACGTGGGGAGGGACTGGAGCGTGGATTATTATGTAAGTCGGCCAGTTTTCCACACCTTTGCCCATTGAGAAGCTGGGTTCTCATCTCCTTTCTCATAAGCCCAACAGACGGCTCTTCTCCTCTCTCTTCTTCACTGATGTCCACATCACTGAAGACATCCACCCTGACATCCACCCTTTTGCTGCTCTTTTTTAAAAATACTTTTTATTTATTTTTATTTTACATGTATGAGTGTTTTGCCTACATGTACGTAAGTGCACTTTGTGCATGCAGAGCCCATAGAGGCCAGAAGAGGGCATCAATTTCCCTGGAACTGGAGTTATAGATGGTTGTTAGGAGCCATGTGGATGCTGGGAACCAAACCCAGGTCCTCTGCAAGAGCAGCCAGCTCTCTTAACCACTGAGCATCTCTACAGCCCCTCTTTTACTGCACTTGATGGGTGTAATTCCCTTGGTGGCTAACAGCACCTTCTACACTGGCAGAAGCAGGGGGGACTCTGGAGCAGCATGTACTCTCCTGCATGGCTCTTTTCCTTTAACCTGTACCCCCAACCTCCACCACACCAGGCTATATGACTGTACCAGACTTCTCCCAAAGACTGGAATTCATCAATCAAGAAGTCACATTTTGCTTATTCGGCTTCCCCATGTTCTAAGGGGAATACCCTTCTGGAGGGGGTGACATTATGATATCTCTAGTGATACAGCTCCTACTGCTGCTTCTTTGGTCTCAAATCAAAGATTTTCTGCTTCCGATTCGTTTCTTCTTCCAACTTGCACTGTGTAAATCTGTACCCACCTTTAAGAACTGCGCCCCCCCCCCCATAGTGGTTGATTTCATCTAACAGCTATCTGGTCTCTGTTCCTCTCCATGTGTCAGAAAGTTTCCTTAACCTAAGTTCCTCAGTCTACAGACACTATAGGGCATGAGATAGAAGCTGTAGCACCTCCTTCCAAGGTAGACTTAGATATTCTGAATGAGAGAGAGAGAGAGAGAGAGAGAGAGAGAGAGAGAGAGAGAAGCTTTTTCTTGGCCTCACCTGTGTTTTGGGCTTCCACCTATAATAACCATTGAAGAACAGGTTCTGTTGCTAAATAAAGTTGAAATGTCACTGACTTGTCCAAACACTCCCACATTCCCATTTTGCAGATGTAACAAACTGATGTCACATGCCTTGCCATTAATAGAGAGCTTTTCAAGTACAATAGAATCCTATATAGATAATTAGCTTTTAAGAGGGAGTAAAAGATTCAAACTCACACTGAAGGTTGTTCAAGAGAGCATATAAGAGCTTGGAGGTAGCAGTGGATGGATGATTACTCAGAAGGAATTGAAAGAATGAGTGCTAAAAAGAGAGTTCCATGCTCTGTGCTAAGGATGGATTCGCTATTCGCTGGGAACACTCCCCTTGCAGGTAGTAAGGGGCCTTTGAAACAGTGAGAATGGATCAGTAGACACTCAGGACACTCAGATAGTCTAAGTTCTGGTCTGCTGCACCCACATTTATGCCGAGCCTGATTCCCCAAGAGACCTAAAAAGAAAGGCTGAGGCTCAATGCGGCTCAGGGCTGGATGGCACTTGAATCCTATGACCACTGAATCTCACATATGCATTATAACAGTTATGGAGAAACTGTGATCTGTTACACCTTTTTCCAATCATGCAATGGAAATTGAGCCTGCCTACTTGAGTAAAGAGGAATTTCTTAGAATGGTATTGAGTAACTTACAAAAACAAGCGGGAGAAGCAGCCCAAATGGATAATAAAGCGCACTTACTTCATACATTAGAATACTGTCCGGCCACAAAAGGAATAAAACCTGGACTCATAGCTTGACATAAAGAAAGCTAGAACACATCGTGTAAAATGAAAGTACCCATAACAGAATACCATACACTATGTGAATCCACTTGCATACAATGTCCAGGATAGGCAAATTCATAGACCTAGAAAGTAGACCAATGGTTATCTAGGGATGGAGAGCCACAAAAAGGAGTGAGTGACTGACTGAGGATGGGTGCAGTGTTTCTTTGTGAGATGGTAAAAATGTTCTAAAACTGTAGTGACAGGTGCACAGCTCTGTGAATATCCTAAAAATTATTGAATGGTGTGCTTCAAATAGGGGAATGGTATGGCATGTAGATTTGCATCTCTCTTTCTCTCTCTCATTCTTTCTCTCTCTATATATATATATATACACACATATATGTACATCATATCACACACATGGCTACATTCAGAAAGTCTTAAAAAAATAAAATGAAGGTGTGGCCTAGATGCACCAAGAACCCTGGACTATAGAGAGCCCCCACTAAAGGTTTCCTCCATGCATTAAATGACCTTCAACTGTTCTTGTCTGTGTTTGCTGACTACAAGACACCAAGGCTCAGGAGGTCATCTTATGCACCTTACTTTGGGATTTGCTGTCCAAGCAAGACTATACCAAATGGGAAAAAATTAGTTTTTCAGATGGAAATCAAGAGGCTCTTACTAAAGAAGGGAACATGGGTGTTAGAGGCCAGTGCCAGTGTTTAGCAACCAGTATCCAGAAATTCTGTATAGAAAAGATTCCTTATTTTGAAATTTCTTTGTTCAATCAGCTGGGTCCAGACTTACTGCAAACTAAATATTTCCTCTCCAGTTCTCTCCCAAGTCAATACTCCTTTTTGTATTTTCAGCACTGTCTAAACCAATGCAAATGGACTGACCTCTCCCAGGCCATCTGATCTGGCCCTCAACCAGTTCCTTTTACAACTCCTTTCCTAAGGTCAGCATTCCCATATTTCTGAGCATAAAACAAGAGGTGTAACTAGGTTCACACAAATTCATCTTCATCTTTCTTCAGCCATTTTGTGTCACAACTAGTTTTTTCACTGTATACAACAGAAACTAAAGTAAAATGTGCAATTCTTTCCACTGCTACTTCATAGCATTTTCTCCCATGTTTTAAGTTTTTTTCTAGCTCAATAAATAGCCACAATATCTACTTACCAGCATGTTTAAGAAATTTGTGAACCTGAAATGTATCAAAGAAGAAAGGGAGACTTGAAAGAGGCACAGTTATGGACTGAATGTGTCCCCAAATTGGCATGTTGAAGCCCCATCCCCAAAGGAAGAATGCTTGGAAAGAGGTCCTGAGGGTGAGGCCTTGATGATGGGAGTAGACCCTAATAAGAAGAGATGCCTGATACTCTCCATCACCTCACCTTCCCCTTCCTCCCTTCACCTCCTTCTCCTTTTCTTCTCTTTCTCCTCCCCTCCCATCCTTGCACACATAGAGAAGAGATTATATGAGTACATAACAAGACTGTACAGTCTAGATAATCCAAGAAAAGAGGTTTCAGAATGAAACCCATCTTCCTAATACCTCCATTGTGAACTTCACAGCCATCGATGGGTAGAAATAAATTCCAGATATTTAAGCAAGCCAGTCTATGATATTTTGTTATGATAACACAAGCAGATAAATACAGCCACTAAATCAAAACTATATTTATATTGCCCAACTATCCCAATTCTCTTGTAAACATCAATTGACAATTATTTATATTTACTGCACAGCAACCCCATTCATTAGAA